CCTTAAAAAGACTTGTGCGAATTGCTTCATGTGAGCTATGACTAACTTTTTAGAAACTTTCAAGTAGCTAAGAAATTCCGCTGGGAAATTTTAAGATACTTTAAAACGTTCCGCTGGGTTGTTAGGAACTTTGTTGTGGCCATATTTTCAGCCATGCCTGAAGTTCATACGAAGTGCTTATGGATGCTTTTAGGATTTTTTTTTTGAACTGAAAGAGCCTGAATTTCCTCATGTGCTTTCTACAGCTTCTAAAGTTGCCAGAAAGTTGTGTTAAAAATTTGCATACACTTTGTGGAACTTTATAGTGGGTTTCATCGTTCAATACGGAAAATTTGGTTGCTTAGGAAAACAGTATTGTCGGAACTTTATTTGAGCTTGATGGAACTTAAAAGTTCGGTCGGAACTTTAATTGAACTTTATGGAACTTGGAAGTGAGTTTTATCATTGAATGCGGAACTATTGGTAACTTGGGAAATGATCGAAAGACAAATGGTCGAAAGACAAAAGATCGAAAATCAAAAGGCCGAATGGAATTAAGGTCGAAAAAACCAAAAGGTCCAAGGGACAAAAAGTCCAAATCTAATCTAATCTAATCTAATCTAATCTTATACAAACGCAGCCAGTACGAGAAAGCATCCTGGAAAATGATTAGGTAAGATGAGGTCTAATCATTTTTCTTGTCTAATTGATGTTTAAAGCATACCTGAGATATGATATAAACATCAATTTGGCCAGGCCTACTGCTTTGTATTTGCCGCAAAGATGATTCTTGGAAATGAATGGGAACATTTCTTGAATCTACAGGGATGGAAAGATGCGTGGACATACCGTACCAAACGCTCCGAGCTACTATGTGTAGTTGTGTGTAATGTGTAAATATTTGTACAATATTGAAGAATCATAAAATAATGCAATGGAAGGATCTTACCGAATTTTCTCCTATGAAAACAAAAGGATGAACTAGCCATATGGCTAAAAATCTCTATAATAAAAAAAAAACTTATGTAAACAAAAATTTGGACACCATATTCTTCCGCCGCCGTTAATTGCTCCGAGCGCTCCGTGTTTCAAGAAGTGATAGTTTCATCAGATTCCCCAACTAACCACACTCAAGCAAAGTAAGAATATACAAGCTATATTGCGACTATATGGTTACTTGGGTACTCATATGGCCGTCAGAATGGTTCATCAGTTGCGAAGTGAAGTATTTCTGAAAGTGATGCGTAATATTTCTCAATATTTTGATTTTATCCTAATGTTACCTCAATGTTATTTCACAGACAAGCATACACAACACATTGAACATTTATCATTGTAAACCCTACCATCATCTGTCGTATACACTATGATGGGCAATAGACTCAACAGATGGTTGTAGTGTGTAAACGTCAAACGCTAAGGATTTAATTATGTGCACCACAAGCGGCAGTACTACCAACTAAGAAACATTTAAATTGACCGTTAAAAACGATTTTGATGAACGTTTTAAGAGTGTTATGTCTGCTTGTCTGTGAGCATACCTTCACTATCGCAACTTCGGGTAATCTGCGAAAGTACTTGCATTTTTCTCAGGCATTTTTGATCTAACTGCAATTACTCTCTCATACTCGAAATGTGCCACGACCAAATTGGCACAACGACGCCCTATACGCTCTCTGACCGAAGCGCAGGGTCCAAAGGACAAAAAGTCCAAAGGGCAAAAAGTTGAATTCGACAAAAGGTTGGATTGACAAAATTGCTATTAGAAATTAGAGGGGCAAAAGATCGAATTTACAAACGTCAAACTTTACAAAAAATCCAAACAGATAAAGCATCCCATGACATTTTTAAACGGCCAATGGGATGCTAAAGGTCGAATGGTCAAAATGTCGAAAGATAAAGAAGTGGAAATGGGCGGTGACTGAAAAAGTCTAAATTTTTTAATGGTAAGAAGATCGACTCACTCTTAGTGCTCAGTTGTTTTGTAAAATTATTATACAATTGGCATATTGATGTTTTTACGGTGCTTCGGTGCTTCAGTGAAAAAACGATGTGAATTTACAGAAACGTGCAGATTTCAGTTTAAGTAAGTTTGGAATTCTGATCTTAAATCGTATAATTTTGTATTATTAATCCTGATACAGTTTGTAGCTGAAAATTACAAAATATTTTTATCTGTTTGGATCGAAAATTCAAAAGGAAGAATGGTCGGAAAGGCAATATGCTGAGAAGCAAGCAAATCAAACTTAGACTTTGAATCATATTACTACAAATGCTCGAAGGTTATTTCTCACTCTTGGAGTTGAGCCCTTCTTCACAATATGAGCAGTTTTTTGGCAGATAAACGTTCGTTTTTCCTTTATTTTGTGTTCGTCGATCTTGTTTTCCGTGCTGAGCACCAATGCTACCGACGCTAGGGAGGCATCTCCCACACTTGGACACTACCTATCGACCCATCAACTCACGAACCGGAGTCCAACGGCTTTTTTTTTTCTCTGTTCGGGACCTAACACCTCTGCGACCAGTAATTTCCAGTATATCCCGCGTCCTTAGTTCAGTGCATGTCGTTTTACTCTATCACTATTGAGAAATGATGAAATATTCGATTTTTTTAACAGTTGTAATTCTTGTATTTATCGCAAGGATCCGACTCTAATTTAAAGGTCCTGCTGTTAATACCGTTCGGAGTGTTGAAACACCCTCCAAAGGCGCGCCCCTTTGTCATTAGCAATGACACCGATAATGACCATGCATCAGAACCCTAGTCTTAACCACTTCAAACTAGGGAACAAAGGATAGATTAGGAATCACATAGATGAAGACTAACTAACTCATTTTTTCCTTGTTTCAAGATCATCCTCGGGGGACAAAGCCGAGTCTTGTCACTATCAACAAGCCATTAAAAGTAACAAGGACTAAGATGTGTTCTTTTGATTACTGAAAAATCCTGTTCCCCTAGTTTGAAGTAATCAAGACTAGGAATCGGTGGTAGATCTTACATCCCGTAACGTACCACGAAAAGGTGATCTACCCATGTTACGGGGCTACCAACGGCAAGAGATGTTATACCTCAGAACATCCCAGTGTCACCGACTGGGATTGATTTTCCGAACACTGGTTCCTTTTGTCCATTGCCACTTAAAGTTTCATTCGACTTTTTTTTGATTCGGCATTTTGACCATTTGACGTTATGTACATTCGACCGTTTTTCCAGTCCTACATAGTTCGAAAAAGGGGTTTAAATTTCTGTTCAATATGATGCACAACAATGAATACCCAAGTTACTATTTGGGGTTTATGGAGGTTCTTTAAAACCTTCTTAAAACTTGCAATGTTACTTGGGTAGTCACATATCATATAAGTGTTCAGTATAAATCGTGTGAATTTCTAAAACATTTCATTAAATGTAGCAAATATTAACCACAAAAAACCCACCTTTATTAAACAACATTGCCTACAAGTTGAAATACAAGTTTACGTGAATGAATGTTCAGAAATAAAATGCATATTTTCGATTCGACATTTTGTCCTCATAAAATTAATTTGACATTTGATCTGCGTTCGAAATTTTATCATAGCATTATCACAGACAATCCCCTGGACAAGTTTTTAGGCCATCCAACATCATTTCAAAGGACTTTCATAAAATTTCCAGAACAATACTAAAGTTCTTTCTTGTTGGAGAACTCCGGGTTCAAATAATTCAAATACTATTAGATGATGTTGAAGGCAAATCATGACGGCTTCTTCAGTCCAAAGGATCAATAGAGTCAACTGGGAAAATCAAAATAGCTAGTCCAGAGGTACTCGAATGTTAATCTACCAGGCAAATTATATTCGTCCCTGAGAACATGGTCAGAAGCCTTTTTAGGAAATGTCTGAAGTACGTCTTATAAACTTCAAGGGTAAGCTGAGAAGACTCCTGAAATTATACTTGTTTACTGAAGCATACCAGACGCCATACAAAAGGACGCCTCAATATCAGTGCGCAAATGACGTTGACATCGTAAAGGGACCACTAATATTCAAAGTTCTGCTCCAAATGCTTCTTATATGTGTCAGCTAATCGCATACCGATGTTATCAGTAATATTAAAGCAATGTAAGTTGATATATTGAGATAAACTTTTTCCTTTTGTTATTCCTGATATCATGCTTACTACAAATATCAGTGTCGGAAGAAAAATTCAGTAGAAGACCAATATCTTACACAGTAGTTATCTGGATATTACTGATTATGTAAACATCCATACATGTAAATTTGAATTTCTTTAAACGCAAACTAGTAACTTGCACGAAATGTTGTTAACAAGGATGGACGATTACATACAATATTTGAATAATTGCTTGAAATATATCATAACTTTACATGATCTCTAATATAAGCTTGTATGATATATGACGCTCCATTTATGTGCATCATATGTAACAGACATTTATACTATTTCTTCGAGCTGTGTAGGTCAATTTATATTGTTGATCAGAGCATGAAGTCATTTTGAAATCTCTTTAGGTTAACAGATCAAGCTCATAAATTTTCCAAATTTTCTTATGAAAGACCTTTACTCTTGTTAAAAGTCTTCTGAATCCTCGATGTAAGTCTCCTGGATCTCATTGTAATACTTCATGAGTTTGAATTTGAAGTCACTCTGGAGCCAACTGTGCTTTTCATTAAATTTGCTTTATTACACCTCTCACAATCATTTTAGATATATCCTTCAGCTTACCAGATCTGGTTTGGAAATTCCTTTGGATCCTTCTTCGATGTCCCATTAAGTGCTATAAACCTGTCATATGGAATTGATCCTCCGCTGATCAGATTTTTTTTTACTATTTAGTTACTTTAATTCTCTTGGGTCTTCAACTGTTAAAAAAAAAATATTTGAGTTTCTTTATACCCCAATTTAAGTTTTTCCACAAAGCAACTGATTAAAGACAGGTCCTGAAGATCATTTTAGCAAGTTGCTTTTCGGTGTTTTCCTAAAACTGTCGCAACTCAGTGGTTCATAAAATTCCCTTCAGTGTTCCACAGAACGCCATGGATTATCACAGAATCAATAAAAGAGAATGCAGTGCCAGTGAAGTGAAAATCGAATTTCTACACTAATAATACCTTCAAAAGAGTGAGACCGTACAGTAGGAGAAAACAACGAAACAACAGTGTCACAGTGAGAATAAATTAACAACAAAGTCGAAATTAGTCGAACCGGAAATTAGTGTGAGCAGCTACCAAGTGGTCAATACCAAATTTCCAGGAGAAAGTGAAAACTTCCAGTGACCTCCCCCCGTGGCAGCCGATTGCCTGGCATTGAAGATTCAAATCAGTGCCAGTCTCCGTCCCCGCAGCTATCGCATCGTATCGGGTGAAGGTCGGCGGTAAAAATAATACCACCCCAACCACCCACCGGTGATGTGAGGAAACACAGCAAACGGATCACCAACTGAAACCGGCAATTATGCTCCCGAACTGAATGTGGAAAAAGGTTGGTCTGCTTCTACACACGCCGGTCCTAAATAATTCATTCTTTAATTATAACGAATATTTACTGCTATCCAGGGTCGAACCCATGCTGGTAGACCTCACCCAATGTCGACCAATACTACCGAGCTACTTTGTAACCGGGTGGTGATGGTGGCAGGATATGCGGGTCGATAAAATCGATTTTTTTTTTCTTTTCGTTTGAATGCGTTTCCCACCAGTCAGTCCAGTGGTGCGGTTTGGAACGAGGAAACCGGGGGCCTGGCTCCAGCTAGGAATTCCAACTCGTTCCATTTGGGTAGGCCAAAAGCGAACGGCGGCGCAAAGGTGTGTGCGAGTGTGGGTGAGTGAGTGTCGTTATCGATTATTTTATGTCGTCCTTCCCGCCCACTGCTTGGGACCCGCGGAACAGAAGCACTCCTCCGGTCGACCTTTGCCGGTTGGTTCTATTCCAGCAAAGACGACGACGACGACGACGGTGGATGATGGATCGAAAGTTGGATGAATACAGGTAAAAACGTGTTTTTCGCCACGGAAGGTCCTCAACAAGTTATTCAGGTTGGAACAAATTGAAACTCAATAATGATGGATTATGGAAAAGGGAAGAAAGTAAATGAAGGCAAAAAAATCGAGTGTGTCAATAGTTGTTAAAGCAGGCATGGATCGTAAAGTTTCAAAGTGCCTCCCGAAAGCCATTACATCAATCGACTATTAATTTGCAGCTGATGGCTGCGGAACAGCGAACTGCCGTGCAAGCGGTTCATTAAATGGGATTTGAAGAATTATGTGAACAATGACGTGGTTGGTTATAGTTGTAGTTAACAGCGATGACGACGTTTGTGGTAGTGTCGAATATTATGAGCGGATTTCGATTCTCATAAAACGTTGCTTTATGGGAGCATTGCCAAGGATTAGTGTTTACAAGCATGTTTATTCCAGTCGGTTGCTTGATGCGGCCAGTTTGCGGTAGTTTTATTGACAGATGCCATTGAGTAAAATTATGGTTAGCCGTTGTTCATGGAAATTGATTGCTAGGCTGAAAGAACATATTGCTGATCGTGCTATTATCAGCATCATTGGAAGACATAGGGTAGATGTTTCAGTCGAGCACGGCCGTAGAATCTGACTTAAATTTAGTTGTGTTTCCTAGATGTCGCAAAAACCACGATTATTTAAAGACTGAGCAAAAATATGCACCAATTTGGATGCATTTATCCGATTAGACTCGATGAAAATCTGCCTGAATTTCATTTCAAAGTTTGGTTTCATATCAGTCGCATTTCACTGATAAAAAACCAAACTTTGAATTGAAATTCAGGCAGATTTTCATCGAGTATATCAGCAACCGTGGCTTTAGCCAAACTGAATATATGGATCTCAAAATTGAATCAAATTCTGAGGCCGTTTCGCTACTCGTTTCTATTTTGGTGTGTACCTGTAAAAGCATCTGGAAATTCCTAATATTCCTAATATGATACATAGAAAACCCATATGCCACAATAGTAACTCACCATAAAAGGAATTTTATAAAAAAAAACGTCTAATACATCTACGCTTATTATTTTTGAACGGTGAAATCGGGAGGCGACGAAAAATTGATACCTAAATTGTGTTTGGAAGTTCAATTCATATATAGGTCATTCAGTGCGAAGTGATAACAGTACGTGAAATCGACCATCTCCAATTTTAACTAAAATAATTGAAATACTGTTTCCAGCTTGGAATTTAACATAAAATCTGAAAAATGGGAGAAATGGCTGTAATGTTGGCTCATGAATCTAAGATGGTCTTCTTCTTCTTCTTCTTCGCTTTTCAAGCTTATTGCATATCGCAATATTAGCTTATTGCGTGTTCTCAACTTAGTGTTCTAGATGTACTTCCACAGTTATTAATTGAGAGCTTTCGATGCCTGTACCATTTTTGCATTGGTATAATTGTGTGGCAAGTCCAATCATACTTCTATGCTCGGGGAAGTCGAGAAATTTTCCAACCCGAAAAATTCCTAGACCGAACCGGGAATCGAACCCAGCCACCTCCATCATGGTCTTGCTTTGTAGCTGCGCCTTTACCGACTGAGCTAAGGGAGGCCCCAGATTATGCCCATCGCCAATAATCTGCTATTTAACAATTTTATCTAGATGAACGCGTTATTGGGACGGTACTAATGGATAGTTTTGGTCGCTATTGAAAATTTTGTCGATTGCTCAATTTAGGGGCATTTAGGCCGACATTACATTCATTTCCTCTATATGTCCTTTTTTTAAGTGTTTTTTTTTTTAAATACAACAATATTGCATTCAAAATTAAGTGTTCACTAGGCTCTCGACAAAAGCAGGCCACTCTCGATGTGTGCCACGCGATCATCTGTTTTCTCGGCAGCAACCATTGTGTGGTCCTCCTCATTGTTGTTCATCAGCACTTCTTTCGGTCGATGCGTCGTCGACTTTGGAAAGCAACCGTTCAGTGATGAGTGTGTGAGTGCTGACCACGTTTTGCGTCCATTGCTACAATGGAAGCGCTCTGACCCCCGTTGGCATAACTGCCATACAATGAAACCACTGGAAGCGGTTCCAGTTCTGATGGAGGAGGAGGCTTTATGGATAGTGGAAGATAAAGTGTTTATTAAGTTGTACCTTTTGACTGTAATTTTAAGATGTAATGTAATTAAGATGTTTAAGTGACCAAGAATCCTCAGCTCTGTTTAGTTAATTTGATTGAGCCTTATCAAATAAATTAATAAACAACAATGCATTCAGAATGAACGGCCATTTTATAAAAGACCCGTTTTCTTCAATACACAATGAAATTAACCCGCTATCTTAAATTCACAAGAAAATCATCCACTTTCTTGACTCGACCATCAACCAAATCTACCACAATCTTGGCATTACAACAATTTTGTATTAAGAAAGACCTGTCATCCTGAATTGACCATTTTGAAAACAAAACACCATCTTGAATCCACCATTTTCAATATACGGCATGAGAAAATTTAAGCGCAAACATTTTTTTCTATAGGGGAAATGCCATGCTCCAGTTTGGGTTATGTTTTGGAGACATTTAACGTTTTTTTTTACAAGTTTGAGATCTGTTAGATTGTTGATTGACCCACAAAACGCACGATAATTGTGATTCAATCGTTTTTCTGAGGTATGGCCAAAATAGCAACCTATGTAAAATGGCAACAAAGGTTATCTTCCATTTAATTCCACTCAATTAATTTTGGTATTTATGACAGATACATATATTGACTATAATGTGCAGTCTTCATCAGTGTTATTTCCACTAAAGAACGTATCAAAACCTAACCTACCTGGGGGATGAGTACTTAAAGGCGTTAGTAATTGATAAGTTCCTTAGTGGGAATGACACTGATGAAGACTGCACATTGTAGTCGAAATACGTATCGGTCATGGATACCAAAATTAATTAAGTGGAATTAAATAAAAGATAACCTTTTTTGCCTTTTTATTTAAAGCATTCCGCTAACAACCCAATTTCATACTTCATTATGATGGCTACCAAGCCTTTGAGAATCTTACTTATTAGAGATTTGTATCGATTTTTCTCCATCAGCTAAACTCCGTTTAAGTGTTAAAAGCCCACAGCATAGGCACAATTGTCACGATGTTCGGTATCTATGATGACCACTCCAGTTTTGCGGTAGCGGTGGAAAATTCAAATTGAACCGGCTAGCTGAACTTGGGTGCAATTTTTCGTTTTGGTGTCACTTTAACTATGTTACTGTGGGCTCTTAACACTAAAACGGAATTTAGTTAATTCTTTGAAAAAGGCACAATACATGTGACCGAAAAGTCAGATGAAAACTTAAAACCCCGTTTTTGAGCATCAAAAGACTAAAAGCCACATAACCTCCAACATAGTTTGTAACAGTCGATCTCGCCAAGAAATTTCTCCTTCAGTTTATTTAAATCTTTGGCTTTTTAGTTACGTAGGTTCTGATTCTACATATTGTACTTTCATTTTTATACCTGTGACCTTGACATTTTTACCCGAGGATAAGTACTTAAGTTTGGTAACAACCTAACAACCCCATTTCATTGCTTCAATAGGAACCTATGGCCAAAACTGGTACACTTACTGAAATATAATACCGTAACTTTGATAGTTTTTTGAAGTGTGTTCTAAATATTTGTTATATTTTTAAAACAAGTACTGATGATCCTAGTGTCAATAAGTTAGCAATATGTTCATCGAAATTTTTTTCATTTGCACTATTTTTTAAATGTAATCTGAGTGGGTTACTTTGATAATATTCGATGAATGAAGCTTTGAGTGTGTTGGTTTATTTATTTTAAATTCCGTTATAATTACTTATCTTTTGACAGATACGCGTCCCAAGTAACCCAAAGGTCTGATTAAATGCTATTTGTGGCTTAAGCAGCTTGGTTGAAGGTGGTCTATAGAATTCTATGCAGCCTCATTTTTAAGTTGTTATAAGAACTTGAAAGTTCCGGTACTATAATTGAAGAGCATTCTAAGCAGCTTCTGGTGGAACTTGAACGGAACTGTTAAGAAAATAAGTTTAAAAACGGTTTTGTCCTGAACATCAATTCTATATTTAGTTCGCACTTTTATGAATGTTTATTCTAAATCCAGGCCTTCATGAAATTTATTTCTTAAGGCAGGCATGAATGTGTATGATTTATCATCATTAGTAGTAGTATTGGTGAGCTGTTTGAAGAATTAAAACCCAGTCCTTCTGCGTAGAGCCCCAGCACGAACCGCTACTTTTGGAGTTTTCAATGCCAGCTGACTGCTTGAATACGAAACACAACACCTTGATGAATTTTAAATTGGTGTGTGCCCGCATGGTATTCCTACACACTTGTGGCACAGTGGTTAGCAATCGTAGATCGCGTGCTGAATACACTCTCACGGTTCGAATCCAGGAAAATACTCTTTATTCTTTTTTTTTTTGAAAGAATGCTGATGCACTGCATAAATATAAGAATAGTGATTTATTTGAACCACTGATCATTT